AAGTGTCCCAAAGGTTTCTTCAAATTAAGTTTCATCTTGTTTTTAGAAACCTCTGTTCCAGAAGAGCAAGAGAGGTTTCTGAAAACAGGACAGAAGTGTTCATTTATTTGAAGGAACTGACAGGATTCCCAGGACATTTTTCTCACCTCTCCCCCTCACCACACTCACTGGTGTACTTCACCCTCCCATCCCTGAGCTCGCTGGTGCACTCTGCTGAAACTGGAGGTTGGAAAGAGTTGAGCACGGCAGAGAATGAGATGAGAGGAACCAGTCCCGTTTTGAGATTCAAGAAATATGGCCACCCTATTAACAGATTAATGCTAAACTTGTTGAATCCAATTATTAAGCATTTAGAAAGGGAGCTAGCCACAATGAAGTGGCAAGTGCTTGTAGGCAACATAGTATTTTGGTTACCCAAGTTCAATAAAAAAAATTATAGAAACTTCAAAAGTGGCAAGTGTGCAACATGGTGACAGATGAAGTTCACTGTTGATAAATGCAAAATAATAAACAGGATTTTTTTTTTAATTTTTCATCAACTTTACATGGTTCTAAATCAACTGTACTAACTCAGGAAAGGAGCCTTGGCATCACTGTTGACACTTTACTGAACAATACAACCTTGCACTCTCAAGGGTCTTGCACCCTCCTTGAAAGCATCTGGTAATGACCACTGAGAGAAAAGATGCTGGACCACCAGGTTGATCCTGCATAGCAGTTTCTTTGTTCTTAGAAGCCCAGCTTCCCAAAAGAAGGTTTAATTGCTTCTTTGTGGGTAACAAAGAAAGTAACTAGATAGCAGAACCAAACCACCTATTACTTGATGATTTACAAGTAGTAACATAAATGAGAATTTATGGCTTGGTGCATGCATTTAGAAATAGTCAGAAGTAGACAAATGGGTAAAGAATAATTCTCGCGCATCGTTGTTTATTCGTGAGGCAAGCTGATGCCTTGTTTCAATCATTCACTGCCAATTCTGAACCAGATAATGCAGCTCACATTTTAACAGACTTGACTTTAATTGCCTCTGTTAAAAGACACAAATCTGAAGAGTTTATATAACTTGTGTTGCCACAAACTGTCTGATATACAAATGACCTGAGCCTTTTAAAGGCTGTATGCATTTCATTGATATAAAAATGTTTTAAAACAACTGAACAAGTTAACAGCTTGAAGCCAATATTCATACCCAAACATTAACCATCTTTCAGTCGCATCTGTTATGACAGGCAATAGCTGAATTAAAATGTTCCAAGCATCAAGGAACTAAAAATAGGTGCTACCACATGATGCATTTGCATTTTTGTACAATGCACTAAGCCAGGGTAAATCTGTGACAGTCAGAGCATTTTACACACACATCTGTACATCGATGAATGAAAAATAAACTTGATTATGAAGTAAATGCATATTTAAATCATTTTGAAAGTGTATATATATATATAGTTTAAAAGTAAGAAAAAGATGGCTACAAAGAAGACAAAAGCTGAACTTTCAATGCATTAAAAATAATTGCACCACCGGGACTAATCACGACTGAGCCACCAGTTAGGGGCATCACTATATTCTGACCTTTTTGTCTTTTTATTATACATATGGTACACAGGATAAGTGTTATAGAGCAGTGCTAAAGACTAGGAACATATTGTGAACCAGGCTGTAGCACAGACCCTAAGAATGGCTATAAAAAGCAGAGCTGTTTGATGTACTCTAAAATAATAAAAAAGTATTAAAACATGAGTGCACTTTATTTTCCCAAATAACTATGCATTGACCTATTTAGTTTCCAATTCAAGAGGCCCCATAAATTCTCTATAATGAGTACCATTCAAAAACAGGAATCTGATATTGCTACTGAATTGGTGGAGGCAGGATGCTCACATTTCTAAGGCTAGGGATAGACATTCAAAAAGTCTGAGCCTGAATTGATTCAGTCTTTGCAGGTTAGTCTAACCTACCTAGGTTGAACTGGTTTCCAACTGAACAGACATGCATGCTCTCTGAACTGAGGAAATGCAGGCACATGCCTGCAGTGGCTCAGGCTAGAAGCCAGGGGGCACTACAGCAGCCCTCCCTTACCTTTCAGAGTTCTGAGCTGAGGGGGGCATGGCCAGGCCCTGGCAGGATGCTTTGATTAGGGAGGGGTCTCTCCCCCCACACCCTAGCAGGAAATTGATAACAGTATTTATCACACCATTAAGAAGACAAAGGGACATTACCAGCTACCTGTTGATTCTCCCTTAGTCCTACCACAGCAGGGACCATAGCCAGCACGTGGTCTACTAGCTAATGCTAAGGTGTCTCTAAGACAGAGGGGAGACGGGGAGGGGTGGGGGGGAGCAGGCAGATGCCTGCAGTCTGTGCTGGAGCTCTGTCCAAGGACCAGAGGTGAGCGGCCAGTTCTACTGTGGAGCAGAGAGTCCCGCCCAGCCCAGAGATCATGTTGGGGGTGTCTGATTTAATTTAAACCAGGAACGGGCATGGGGGTTCCTGGTTTATCTTAAACCAGGAAGGGGTCTGGGACAGACATTGCATGAACTGGTTTGACCCAAATCAGTTAATCTAATATTACATTCAACCAGGTTTATCTCAAAATGGTTCCAGCCATTTTCAAACTGGTTTATGTGCACTGAACATCTGTTTTATTGCAAGTTTAAACCAGCTTCTGATCACTTAAACCAGTTTGTGTATAATGCATGTCCCTAGCCTAAATGTCTCACTCAAACAGAAGCTCTGCATCATGCTGAAAACAGGCAGGCGGGCCAGGGGGGAGGGAAGGAAAATGCTCAGCATATTACTTGGGAAGCACCACAGGTACTTTGAGTCTGATCCAAAACCTGCTGAAGCCAATGAGAATCGTTTCAACAGATTTTGGGATCACGACCTAAAAGGCTGGGAAAAACAGATGTCTGCACAGCACTCTAATTCACTAAGCACTATTTGTCAGAAAGGAGTTTTGTCCATGGTTTTAGATATTCATGGGTGGTAACAGCAATAAAGAACAGACTAAAATGAGCTGATACATGCTTAATTGCTTAGCTTGTTTATTTCCCATTAATTAATTAATTTTAACTGAGCTTTTCCTTCAAATCATCTCTCTCCCTCGAATTTTTTATAATCATAAAAGCCAAGTTTTTGTGGTGAGTAGGTATAATATTTAGTCACAAATATGTTTTACAAATATGCAATACATGCATATTACAGATAAATCCAACTTCAGTGCTCTGTTGTGACTAATTTTAGGCTTCGAGTCCTTTCCAAGGACACTGCTGAGAGCGCAGTGAAAATCTCTGTGTGAACATTTCTATCTCCAAAGAGAAAAACAGATGTAAAACTAGTAGGGGGCGAAGGAGAGGGAATACAGATGTTTCTACAGCACGATGATTTTTGATGAAATGACAAGGAACACAAGTATTAATGTGATTATTTTTTTTTTTTTTTTTTTACAAAGCTATATAACAATTTCAGTGAAACCACTAAACACTCACGAAGGTACATTTTTCCTGGCCTAGGGTCAATTAAGACAGGCTGATATTCACCACAAACATTCTGCAACAAGACAGAGGGAACAAAAAAACAAAAAACAAACAAAATCAACAAGAGTGTTAGGCATTGAACACCAAAGATCCACCTAGTTCTCTTTCATGAATTTTAGTGAGAAAAATACTATGAGTCGATCTAATAAATGATACTGGATTAACTCAAAGAACCTTGTCTGCCAGGAAAAGAAAAACTTAAGACATACAGGAAAAGGCAAATCTATAGATCCTAAAGAGAAGCTTTGCAGGGTAAAGGGTTTTTGAAACTCAACCGCTTCTTACTATTGGACAAGGAGCAAGTACAAAGCTGCCTTATTTCAGTGAGTTTTGTTGTTTCCCACATTATGTCAGGTATATACTTGAGAAGAAACCAAAGGACTACCACAATGAGGAGAGTTGGCAACCACATGGTAAGATGAACCACTATGATGGTACACTCCAGAACTAAGTATCTAAATACATGTTTAAAATGCTCCTTAGAAAAAGCACTGCTGAGTACAGAAGATCTGGTTAGGCATTAAAATAAACACCATCCACAGCTGTGAACAAAAGTTGTAAATTCCTCCTTCCACTCTGTTTGCACAGCTCTCAAACAAGCTGTGAATGAAAATTTCATTTTTCCTGAGACAGAGCAGTAGTAGCTGAAGATAGGAAGTAAAACCCTGGCACCATTGGAGTTAATGACAAAACATCCATTGATTTCATGGAGCAAGATTTCACCTAGAGTCTTCTTGACAGCTAGTCAAAATGTCTTTCCACAAGAGTTGAGAACGATCACAAAACCTTAACAACTTTCAGAAAAAATGTTAGTCTGATCTTCATCACTTGCATCACTGCACAGCATTAAATGCACACACACACGCAATATATTTTTCCTTTCCTCAGAAGTATGAAAAGGCAATAGAATTCTAGAACTTTGTGTGTGTTACACACACACACACACACACACACACACACGTTTATAAACTTGTAACATCCTTGGCCAAGTGCTACAATAAAAAAAGCAAGGTATAAATAGGAAGACAGCTGTTGACAGGGGTTAGAAGTAATTTGCAACAAAGGATGAGATCAGAAATTGAAAAAAAAAAAGATCAATAATTTTCTCATAGTGAAGGACTGGGGTTTATGACTCTCTCCCTTTAAAACAGAGAATTGAAACCATACTCAATAGTAAATCACTGAGGAAGGAAAACATAAAGAACATGATATTTAAAGAGACGAGTCACAGCATTAAAACAAACATAACTGAAAATATGGACATCTGAAGTTCAATTTTTTTAACATATAATTGGGAGGAAAAAAAAAAAATCAGATAACAGTTGAAATGATATTGTCATGATACTACAAGCTATTCCAAATAAAGAAAAATGAGAAAAACCTATTTGGAGCATTCTTGATCATCTTAGTAACAGCTTTTCTATGGCTTTCAAGGCTAGAATAATCACAGTGGCACCATACCGTGAAGCTGTTGTTGACATTTTTTGTGCTTGATTCAGCTACACTGGCATCTGACAGGTCGACTTCATCAAATATTAGAGACTGTAGATGGAAAAGAACACAAACACATATATAACTAAGTCCATTTTCACATTGTGCTTTCACTTCCTTCTTATTGTGTTAGAAAGCAAAGGAGAAGAGTAAGAGAACTGCTTGTCAAATACTTTTTTTTAAATTTCACCTTTAAAAAAGGATCCATCATGGATATCTAACGTTTTGAACTTTCCAACTGATAAGTGGCAAAAATTAACTGCATCAACTCTAGAAGGTAATACTTGCTTTAAAAGTACCCCCAAAGGGGGCTACTGAAGCATGCCATCATTTATGTCAGACACAGTATGTTTAAAAAAACCTCTGCTCCACAGGTTAGAAGACTGCTGCTACCTTTAACCTTCCTGTCTGGACTTCTTGCATATTCTCCTGTCAGCCTATTTCACTCAGCTGGCTGGATGAGGGCCTAGACCAGGGGTGGGCAAAATACAGCGAGGCCATTCTATCCGGCCCGGGGGCCCCTAAAAAACTGTAGAAAATTAATACTTCTCTGCCCTTGGTTCCTGTCAAAAATGACAGGAACCAAGGGCAGTAGGACCCAGGAGAAGCCTAGTGGGCTCCAACAACAATGGGCCTGCCTGGCCCTGCCCCCCAGCCGGGGTTTCCGGGCTGGGAGCACATGGCTGCCCCAGCACGGGAAGCTCAGGTAAGTGGGGGCAGGGAGGACCCCGGGCAAGGAAGGAGCGCAGCAGGGGGGAAGCGGCCCCTCCCCACCCCATGCCCAGTGCCCTGCGCTGTAGCTGCTTGCAGCCCACGTGGGGCTGCCTGTGCCCACTCTGGACAGCCCCACACAGGCTGTGAGCGCCTGCAGTGTGGGGCACAGGCCATGCGCTGGGGCCACTCCCCCCCCCGCGCTCAGCTTTTCCCTGGGCTCCTTTCCTGCGCAGAGAAAAGTGGCCCCTCACCCGCAGCATAGCCAGCGCCCCACACTGCAGGTGCTCACAGCCCACATGAGGCTGTCTGGAGCAGGCACAGGCAGTCCCAGGCAGGCTGTGAGCAGCTGCAGCGCGGGGCGCCGGGCATGGGGCGGAGAAGGGCTGCTTTCCCCACCCCAATGCACTCAGCACTACCTTGTAACCTGGCCCCACTGCCAGGTTGGCAGTGGGGCGGGTTACAAGCTGCTGCTGAGCACGGGGAAAAGTGGCCCTCGCCCACCCCATGGCCAGCACCCCGTGCTGCAGCCACCTGCAGCCTGCCTGGGGCTTCTTGTGCCTGCTCCAGACAGCCCCGCATGGGCTGCGAGCAGCTGCAGCAGGGAGCGCCAGCCATGCTCAGCACCAGCTCCACTCCTGCTGGCAAGCAGGGGGTCAGGGCTGAGCGCTGCCCCCCGCCTGTCCCACTGTACCGTGGGGTTGGGGGGCATTGGGTGTGAGCGGGTGGGGAGCCAGCGGGAGCACAGGGCCCACACCAGTGTCCCGGGGCCAGCGCCAGCAGGGCCCAGAGCAGGGTGACAGGAGCATGGGGTCCCAGCTGGCAGGGGCTCTGTGGAGCCAGGCCAGCTCTCCCCTCCCTGCTGGTGCAGCCCAGCCCAGCTCCACAGACCCTTGCCAGCCTGTACCCCACTCTGGGCCCCACCAGTGCTGGCCCTGGGACACTGGTCCCAAGACATTAGGACGTTGGTCCCAAGATGGTGACCAGGGGGCGGGGCACCTGTCAAAGGGTGGGGCACCTGTCATGGGTCGGGGCTACCCATGTGGCCCTCAACAGCCTGCCAAAACTGGGTAAGCGGCCCTCCACCCAAAATAATTGCCCACCTCTGGCCTAGACCCACTTAAGCTCAGGAAACATTAGACAAAAGCTTGCTCCCATGGAAAGGCTTACACATGGTTTCTTATGGTCAATTTGACTAGCCATTAAATAAACTTATGTTGAATAGAGGTGCATCAATACAATGGACCAATACTGGATCGACACCAATATTAAGAAAATTGTCTATATCGGAAATCAGCGTGACGTGGCCGATAATTTGACTGATAAATGGCCCATGAATGAACACGGCCGCAGAGCAGCATGTAGGCAGTAAGAAGCACAGCCGGCAGTATGGAGAGCTACATGCAGTTGGTAAGTCTGGTGTGGTGGAAGGGAAAGGGTGTGGGGGTGTAGATCAACAACCCCCCGTGGGGCTGGGGCAGGCGCTGCCAGGGTAGGGAGGCGGGCATGGGAAAGAGATGCAGCTTGTCCGGGGGGGCACAGGGAGGGAGGGAGGGCAGCTCCCGCCACTCATCCAGAAGCTTGTGGACTATGGGGAATTTTGGGGTGGGTGCAACCACCCCCCCGTAATCTTCTCCAAGCACCACCTGCCCAGAGCACAACCCAGACCAGCCTCCCGCCTGCA